ATGTTGGCAATGGCAAAAACAATTAAGCTTAGACTAGATGGCATACCATACAAATACAACAAAACTTTAACTTTCCAGGAAGATGGCTCAGGCCTCGTCTGGATGGAGTCAGGAGTAGTAGGCCTAGCCTAGACTAGTAGTAGAGGCTTGGCGGATTTTTAAGTTCTTACTTATACAGAGGCCTACCTTTTTAACAATATTCTACCCTAAAGGCCTAAATCTGTAGCAGCTAGCGGTGAGCAAGGTTCCTAGTATAGCCTACGGTTATCAGTCCATGTCGTTCTCAGCAGGCCAGAACTATTATACTAACTGTTTTAATTCAAGTAGGTAGCCAAAAGGGAGCTGGAGCTTGTTCTAGTCAAGACATCCGCATCTTCAATTTTGGAAATTTACAAAGATTGATTAATATGCATGAAGTTAGCCAATCACGTGATTTACAAAATCAGTCATGCATACGATATCCCACATCAAATTTGATGTGGGAAATTGCACGCATGAATCGTTTGCCCAGGCCCTAATTCGAAAAAAAAAGAAATCGAGTATGGGACGCCAATTAAATTAGGTATGGCGCGCACTAAGTGCAATAAAGAGTGAGTAACCTAAAATTATGGCCTGGAACCCAGGCTATTAGACAGTCTTACTAAAGTCATACCTCTAAGACCATTGCTATAAAACAGTCTTTTCTAAGACCGCTTTGAGTATTGAAATGCAAACAAGCACTCCCTGGTAACATAAGATTGAGGGCGACGTCATGCGTGCTCGACGCATGCAAATGTTTCGAAACAAACGTAAATAAACGCCGTAGACCTATTTTTACAGACGCTGAGAAGTGTGCAGAGTATTAGTCATTCAATTCTCCGACTTTGACGATCTAGGCCTAGGTGTTGCCATTGCACTGTTGAATTTATCAGCAGAACGTCATGATGAAAATGATTTAAGACCGTTTTAAGCCTCCTCTGAGTGGCTTTAAAATTTAAGACGGCTAACTGGTTAGACCGAAGTATAGCAATGGTCTATAATCATAGACCAGTAGTGACGTCACGATTATAGCCGGCTAACCGTTAAGACCGTCTAAAGACCGCTTATAGCAATCCGCCCCAGGTCTCCCTCCAATTAAAGACCACTTTTTGTACTGGCGTTTCCATGGTCTTTAGCAGCTTTGGGCCCTACTTAGAATAATAAAGATGAAACACATTTGTTAATTTGGGACCACAGAAAAGTTGTCTTTAATTGGAGAATCTGTAATTAGAGGCAGACTGTATATGCTAATTAGAGCCAGTTGTTATCAGAATTCAGTAATTACATTTTTAAAACACCTAGAAGGATCGATGCTATCTAACTGAAAGTATTGTGCAAAACATGAGGATTCAAATTGTTTAACATAAAAACTAATATTAAATATAACAGTTAATATCATCTGAAAACTAGACAGAAGGGTGGTTATTTTTTACCATGGTGGCACAAAATGACAGCATAAATGCACGCAAACACATGCATTTGAGGGACAACGTGTGGGTGTGTGTGTGTATGGGTAATAGCAAAGAATATAAATAGAACAAGAGAGGGTACTCCTGTTTGTAAAAACGTCACGTCTTTGTAGAAAGCCTGCTGACGGCTATATGTTCACCTGCATTCATTTGCATACTGAAGTACGCCTGCTATTTACTTGGTAAGTAGAAAAACAGACAAACAGACCGTGCGCGGTGGAGGACGCGGCAGGATGCAGGGGAATATACAAACGACAGCGGGCATCCTACACTGGCTGCTTGGGGGTATCGTTGGTTTACGTTCTCAATGAGCGTACTGTAGTTGGCTCTCTTGTTCTATTTATACTCTTTGGTAATGGTGAAGAATTGGAATCTGTGTTTAAGTAAAATAAGCCTAACATATGCTCCTGATGAGAACCTGTATAACATTATAATTTTTATTTACTTTTCATTTCTCAGGAACAAAGGGAAGAGCAAAAGAAGCAGGATGAGGAGGAACAGAAGAAGAAATGGTTTATGTCACTGAGTGATCGGGAAAAACGGGCAGTTGCAGCAGAACGGAGATTGATGAAGGATTCATCAATTTCATCCGGAGCACTGTAAGTTACTTCCATTGAAATCAAATGAAAATAAATAAAATGAAATGAAAGTGCACTAAAATTTAGTGATGTTATAGAAAGGATACAGACTATTTGCATATGTTGTATGCTAGAATCTTCATCTCCATTGTTCATGGAGACTTTAAAATCCTTTATAGTTTATTATGTATATTTATGATAAATAATCCCGACAAAATTCCTAATACTAATAATTCCTGAAAGAATAGTACTGTAGTTGCTATGATAGTCCAGTAGGGTGGCCTTTCTTTGTCCCTTGATGCTCATATGTTGTCATTACATAACGCTAACACTGAACACCTGTAAAATACTATTATGCAACTTCTATCCTACATTTTCTTTATATTCATGTTATTTTTATCCACCTAGGCGATGTTGGCTCTGCGGCAAGACTGTTGCAGGAAAACCATTCTCATATCTGGAGTTTAACTTCTGCAGCATTGAGTGTCTCAAAAAACACAAAGCAAGTAATAAATGATGTCACAACCCATGCTGATGCCTCCAAACTTCACCTGAAACGTCTATATCTTCAGCAAAATTTATGATTATTGTTGGTTTTGCTACAATTTAGTTGCAATTTGATGTAGTAAGCAACATTAGTCAACATGGTGCAGTGTCCATATTTGACTACATAAATATTCTCAAAGTATACTGATGATCAACTGTGTTTTTACATGATAAATCTAGGGCTCCTTACACTCAGCTGCCATTAGGCTGTCTTAATGTTTGAGACAAACTTCAAAGACCATTGGTTGATGTTACAGTTCCAGAGAGCCCATCTTCCTTTATTCGAAAGGTTCATATTCGTTTTAATTCTTTGTTATTGTGATTTTTCTGTTTTGGTTATTTGTGATTGGGGATGGGCCAACCAGCACTACTACAGCTCACTGGTTCAGTCCAGTTCTGGTCTTCCCATTTTGTTTTTGGACCAAATATATAATGAAATGAAATAGTATTCAGTATTTTGTAAGTATAATTAATCATGAATAATTTATTAAATTAATTATTCATGTGAACTACTGAAAAATGACTGTAATGTTTGATTAAAACACGTCAAAATAATAATGTTGCAATTATTTGTGTTCACTTTAGAAAATGAGTAAAATATTTCATATTTTTAAATTTCAACCATGCTTTGTAATCTACAGCTATTAAAAATAGCAACATCCTCAGCTGTCCCTCTTCAATTGGATGTGAATTATAATAGCGCTTTCCACTAAGCCCCGCCCCTTTGATGTTGTTAAGGTCCCATTATACGACAATGTTAAAAATATGTAAACAACATCCTTTTGTGGGACAACACGCTTTGAGACGCATGTACTCCACGCTCTGTTCTGATTGGTCAGTTCTGAAGTTTGATTGACACTCTGGATAGTTCCATTTTACCATATATGCAACAACTCACGATAAACTACTATGGATAATCCAATTTGTAATAATTGAATAAAACGGAAAAAATCTTAAGTTTAAAAAAAAGATGTTTGTATGTGCCATTGTTGGATGAAAACTGGTAATGCCCCAGAGATACATTTGAATTTTATTTCGTTTTTGAATTTTATAGTAAACATATATCATCGTGTCTATAATCTAGTTACTGTACTATACATTTTATCTAGGTGTGAAGTTGGTTTAGATGTAATTTCGTTGAACTCGTGGCTTTCTACTCTATACTTCTTGTTGCTGTGATGGACGGCTTAGTATTAAAATTGATCGGTTGTGTGCACGCCATTTCCGCCATATTTGGTTGATTCTCCCTTTCAAAACGTACATGATTATGGACAAGCAGAATAAATCAAAACCAGTATAGACAGGGAAAAGGACCTGTGCCGCTGTTGATTCACGCTCTATAGTGGCTGCAGCACTTGTGCTTAACATCGCCCAGCACACGTACACACCAGTTGTCAATATAAAGGAACTGGCTAGCAAGAACAGGCATATGTAGAGTTTATCCAGTGTCGTCATCGGGATGCATTTCCACTGCAAAGATAATATAATTAGCTATGTAAATGTATGATTATGTTAATAATAATTCGCTTCTTGCATTACTGCGTTTTCTTTGATCAACTATCAAGGACACAATTATAACACACGTTTGTGGGACATGTGTGTTTGTGGGACAAACGCGTATTCTTACCGATGTTTTGATTGGCAAGTTGTTAAGTTGATCCTGCGGAAAGGTAGGCCTACCCTTTGTCGAGCACAGTGGAAATCAGGGAGGTCCCTCTTCACATGGTCTCCTAATAAAGACGGACCATCCAGTTACAGCCCACCTTTAACCACTTTAACTAAGGCCATCTCTAATTAAAGCCCAAAACGAACGCTTATCTTTTATGCTGTAATAATTTTTTTTTTCTGATGGAAGACCAAATCTGCTAAAGGACCATGAAAAAAATCGGTCCCAAAAATTGGTCCATGGAAACTTTATTCTATTAGGCAGCCTTTCTTAATTTTGAGTTCATGTATAACCATCACACACCCAACGCATAAAGTCTGTTGTTAAGTGACCTTTTGAAACATCATATTGTCTTGGTTTCTTTTTTGGTTAAATAAGAATGACACAAGAATTTCGAATTTGGGGTTGGTCAATATTACACAAAGGGGGTTTTACTATGGACACATAAGATATAGCAAATGTACAGAGTATAGAGGGAGCTGTTGGCAATGTTATTACAGTAATTACCACCAAACTTACATGAGCAATATCGAGCATGTTTAACGTTCTTATTCTAAAACGGTAACCACAAAGTTCGCACTTTTTAAGTCCTCTCTGTACAACCCAATTTGACAGACAACTTTGATGACAATACTGCATTGTTCCTGCACATGTGCAAGCGGGTGGTTGGATAAAACTTTCATGTTTGTCTCCCATGTAACAAATCCTGCAGAGCTTTCCATCCAGTCCTTCATCCGACGTGCTTCGAATGCTTCCAGTGTCTATTGAGTAAAAGAAGTTAGGGCGGCAACCACCAGGTTCACAAGGATTTACTTCACACGATGTTGATTTTGTCTGCTCTCGATGGCCAATCTCCTGGTTCTGAGCAACAATTCCCGACGATGGTGAATCATCCGCATATGAATTTGTGACAAGTGCTGTATCGCTTATTACAGAATTATTTTGTTTAACCTCACTTTTCGTCATAGGCCTATAAGCAAATATAATGTTTAGCCCATCATTTAACTGTTGACATGACCAACCCACACCAGACGCCGACGCACTGGTTTGGATACTCACATAATTTTCAAATTTGGGTCGGTCATTGATGACACTGTCAGAATTTGGTGAAAAATCGTCTCGACGTTTAGTAATATATTTATTAATAGATCTTCTACTCTGCTCCAAAGTATACTCATAGTTGTAATTGGGATTGTCATTAGACGAAATAGGGAAATGAAAAGAAAAATCCTGCAACGCAAGTGTTGTTTCAATTTTGTCAGGGCTTATGCACCTGTCTCGATCAGGATCAGCTTCTGAGCTGTCTTGCTCAGTTTCTTCCATATCGCATCGTCTCTTATAAATTTTGGCATTTGGACTTTTTGTCTTTAACCGTTGGCGCGCACCTTGCGCGAAATTGTACGCGACGCGTATCCCGGGTTGCGAGCAAAACGCCTCCGATCAAGGAACGCAGTGGCGGATCCAGGGGAGGTTCAAGGGGTTCGGACGAACCCTCCCCCCACCACTATGTGAAGAAACAACTTAATAGTACTGGTCCTGGCTTACGAATGGCATGCTAACCTACCAATTAGGCATAGTCATGTAGCAGATCGGACAAATAGGCTTAGCCCAATTCAATTAGATAATATTAACACTGTTTATGGTTCGACGTCGTACTAATTTATAGCCTATACGAAGTGCGTTCTTTAGGACTATCGGTTCATTAATCCATGGAAGAAAGACTACGTATCCAACCAGGCCTACTCAATATTGTTTAAATATAATAATATATTGCCTATGTCTTCGTTTTTTTTCTCTCTCTCTCTCTATGTATAGGCCTAAGAATGAGATAAAAATCACCTGACCTGTTTTTAAGAGAGGGAAAACCTCGAATTTTGAAGAAATAAAAGGTCCGATTAAAAGACACCTAAGAAGTCGGGAATGCTCATTTCCGGCCATCTAGGAATCAAAATTTTCCCGGACCCCCTTTTATTTTCGGTTTTTTGGAACATTTTGAATCCCCCTCTTTCAAATCCTGGATCCGCCCCTGGAACGTAACCAAAGACGTAACTTTCAATAGGGTAAGCACTGCACTGGGTAATAAAAAGTGCATACAACCGTCAGTGGGCGTCCTACGCAGGCGTGACGTTTTCAAAAACGGGAGTACGCTCTCTTGTTCTATTTATACCATAGAGATATAATAGCTCTATGATTTATACTCTTAACACAAGGTCACTCCACCAAGCGAACATTAAGTTATAGCACTAAAGGGCTTCTTCATACCCCTAAAGCATTCACACAGTCATATGGCAATTGTGCCTTTTCAGTTGCTTCTCCAACCAACTGGAATAACATTCCATTAGGCCTACACATCAAAAATGCAACTTCCATCATTATTACATTTAAATCTCTTCTTAAAAGTCATTTTTTATCTGACTAATGTTATGGTTGATAAGATGGCCCCCAAACTGCTAAATACCGGGATGGTGTCCGGTGGGGGATAGTTTAACCAATTGTAGTTAAGAGTAAAATACAGTACCGTATTTAAGAGTAGTAAGCCTAGCTTAAGGTAGTTAGGGACGTCCTGGGTACAACAATAAACTCCATCCAGTCGAAGCCGTCGGCGACTAAACTGACAACCCTCTCAGATATGTCTTTGTGGCTGCTGAGGGGAGGGTGTTATGATCACTGCTAGCAGCAAGAAAAACCAATAGCTGAACAAAGGGCGGATGAGCTCCTCGGAGTCAACGGCCAACCATTAATTAGTTTAAGGAATAGGAGTAGTTTAGTCTCATTGTTATTATGGTTACTATTATTTTATTTTATTGTTATTTGTATTTTCTCGGTTGGCCTATATTATTTCTTTGTAAAGCACATAGGGGCAATGTGCAATATGCACTATATAAAGATAACATTATTATTATTATTGTTATTATTATCCTGTTGAATATTAGCCGTAATAATTTTCATAGTATCTATAATTTATCATTGCAATTTACTAGTGAATCTGAGATTTCATTATTTGCATTATTCGCAATAGATACAATACTAATAATAATCCATCAACAAAATGTGACTTTTACAAAAAAAAACAAAAAAAAAAAAACCTGTTTTTAAAGACATATTGTATTATATTAAAACTCTTATTATTATGTTCTGTTTCGAAAAAAATTACAGCCATGTGATGTCTAATTTGCTCAAAAATCCTAATACTTTAGACCATAAAAGGCCGTTACTAAGGAAAAGGGGCCCTTAGCAACGAAAATAACGTAACCATACCTATTTCACATTATATCTCGTTATTATTCATTAGGCCTATGTATTAATATTTTTGACGTGTTCAGACTCTACATATGAATAGTTAATACAACTGTGTATATTTTGAGAAAAGAATACACTCATGGTAGTATTAGTGGATTAAATGCACCGTTGCTAAGGGAAACCTCCATAGCAACCGAAAAAATGATATTTTTGTGGTTTTTAGCTTTTTTTCGTTAATGTGCAAGAATGGAACGTGGGAACTATAAAGTTCATTTTCACAACACTAATGGTGACTAAATTAACATAAAAACAAGTACTTCCACGGTGTGTACTACGGAAGTCAAGAAATAAAGCCTTTTTGAGGTCTCGGCCCACGGCCTAATGTGATGCTATGAAGAACGCCACACGAACGGGCGCAATGGGTCGTTTACGATCCGTTCAGATTGTTACCGATAATTAGCAGACGGCGTTGTGTCATCAATCGTTCACAGGGAGCGGAGTTATATTGGTCGTACGACGCAGTGAGTGCCCGGCATTATTCTTTCTTAAATAATCATAAAAATTACAATTTTTCATGGGACCTCACTTATGCAAAATGTGTTTAATTGTTAATTAGTTTATTATGTATGTATTTTTATTTATTGCACAGGATTTACTGATTATTTTTGGAATAAGAGATTTATAAAAGGATAGGCCTACTGTTGTGTGATTAATCCTTTTGCTTTCTAAGACGGAGTCGACGTTAAGGTATCATTTGAAACATCTTACTTGAATCTATTATACTGTGTATGATGATGGTGATCAGGCATACAGATTTCAAGAAAAATACAAAAACAGCGTGGTGTCCCTGTGCATTTTTGCATACGTATTTGTGACATAGTTTTATGTACTTATTGATACAAACCAAAGTTGTTAGTTATTTCATTTGAAACCAGTGTCAGTATAATCTTAGGTAAGCAGGTGGTTGTAATATATTAACACAAACAAACGTCTTTGTAGTAGCCTAGCAAAACGGCTGGATAACGAAGTACAGTAGAACCTCGATTTTACGTACGGTACGGGACCAGAGGGCGTACGTAAATCGGGGGATTCGTAAAATAGAGGTTGGGTTAAATTTGTGGTAACCTTTGACATAATACGTACGTAACGCTCAATAAACGTATGTACGAACGAACGATGA